GCTAAATAAATTACACAATGATATATTTTACTTCTACCAATAAGAATACAATGACAATAACTGAAAGAAGGATAGTAGAAGAATGGTAGATTTCACATATGTTCACTGATATAATTTGCCTTGCAAATTCATTTTTATTCATATCTAAATGCAAGATAATGAGAAAGTGAGAAAGCGAAAAAACAGCAAAATGAAACAGATTTAAATTTTTCATGGCATAAGGCTTTCAATCCAATTACTACAAAACTTCCCCAAATCTTATCTCAATCTACTCATCTATACTTCCTTAGAAATTGAGATAAGGGAATAATAATCTTCGAAGTTGATATTATAAAAAAATTAGATAAGTAAAAAGCATTAAGCAGCAATTTCGTCAGAATCGGCATTTTAAAAAACATAAGTAACGACCTCGAAAGAGTTAAAAAACCATTTTCCATAAATGAAAATTTCCACTTAGAACCCACTCTGTGATAGGTTTTAAGTAAAAATTTTCATTTTCGGAAAATTGTTTCTTCTTCATCTCTATCATTCTCCAGTCGTCGAAAAAGCTGACAATTTTCCATAAAAATCTAATTTTTGCTAACATCCGGATTATCCTTGACTACTCCACACTATAAATGATGCAAAGTTTTGCTTGCAAGAATACAATTTTAAAGAACATAACCTTCGTGCAAATCAAGAATTTTCTCTTTCTTTAATATCTTATCAATATTTCAAACAAATATGGAAACTTACTTCACGACAGAAACACCATACACGTCGGTCTGAATCAGATTCATCGTCGCTTCCTTGCATTAGTTCAGGTGAGCACGTAGTAAGACTTGTTGCACGACGTTCATGACGCTGCATAGTATATAGCATTTCTTGAGCTCTAGATGTTAGCCTAAAGCATAAATATCTATTGTTTTAGATAAAAACCAAAGAATCGAGGATACTGACATGAACACAAGGAATTCTTCAATGAAACTGCTTTTTAACGTCATAATTTATGAGATATAGCAAGAAAAGTTACTTCCTTGGACGACCATGTCGACTTTCTTGGGCGGCAAGTGACATCATTGACTGCCCCGGAGCCGCATGTCCTGATGTTCCAGTAAAGGTACCTGGCTAAAACAATATTTCATTCTTGCTACTTTTGTGGTGATAAAGCTCACACAAACGAATACATATTTCATAAATTATCAATTATTTCACTCAGCCTGACAAAATAAAAATTGGAGAGAAGAGTAATTTTTTGAACAAAAGGAATCTTGCATAATCTATACGAACTTCTCCGCATTACAAAGGAAGTATTACGATTTACTGCAAAGTATCACATAACTATACAATGTGAGCACTAGTAAGCATGAAAAAATAAAAGTACCTATTATATAAATCGAAAAAATATAAAAAAACACAAGAGATACGAAGAGAAACCAAAAAATCTTTTTTGGTTTAACATTCGGGCAACGAAAACGTAATAACAATTACGTAACTGCCAGATATTTGCAAATACTACGAGATGAACTGCTAAGTGTTTGAAAATTCACTGATTTTTTTGAAACTAACATTTGATGTGCTTTTCGGAAGATGCACCGAGAACTGTACTTGTGAAGAGGTAGATGGAGTTTGACTTGGGCTACTGCTCCAACCATCACCTTTGAAATCTCTTTTGAAAATATGCAAAATTTTGACAGCTTTCAGAATTAAAAATTAAATTGCTCAATACAAATGTGAAGTGATGAAGATCAAGCTTTGCATTCAAGCTCTGCAAGCTTGAAATTTTTGAACTAAAACTTATTTCACCCGAAATCTTTATCATGCAAAGCGATTATAATCTAAAAATAAATGAAATTTTGATAATTAGATAACCAACCACGATCAGCAGTATTGCCTGCTACAGACTGAGCATGTACAGTTGACGAATGAACATTGCTAATACCGATAATTTTTTGAGGAGTAACAAGTGATCGCCTCTGCAAAATGAACGTCGAAGTTTTATTAATATTGCGAATGCATGCAAATTACTTGAATCATTCATGGTATTAAGACGTCACGCATCCATTGCTAACCATGCTTGTGCAATTTTATAGTCTACAGAACCCGGATCATGAGGAAGCAAAACGATGAGGGTTACTCTGTGAAATCGCAATATTAGAATTATAATTTTGAAATCGGTTTAATAGCGTAAAGTTTTGAGCTCTTTTACTTCTCTTTTTTTTTGAACTCTTCTCACTTTTTCGCGACCAGTGACGGATGAGAACGCTTAAGAATAAATTCGTAATATCTATATAGTGTAGATATCAATAAAATATCACTACCGTCACTGAATGTGGCTATCTATAAAATAATTGCACCTGGCCCACATTCTCTTCCTAAACAATACAAAGTTATATTCAACTACGAGCACTACAGCAACCAGCTTGGGTAATACTATTACACTATGATGTCTGTGCGTAATTTTTGAAAAATGGCTTAAATTCATGACTAACTGCAAAAAATAAAACTAGAAGTGGATAAATGAAAATCATAAATTCGATTATTTGTTCTTAAGATCTCCCACAAACTCAGCTTCTGAATTTCTGAGCAAAATACTGTAAATTCATACCGACGAGTCAAAATCTATTGTAATGAACAGAAAATTTTATAGTTACGACAACTAAACAAGTGTAGCAACACAATGTGTATTCCAGTCAACTCACCACGATTACCTTCAGCGGGGGCAAATCAGAATCACGCTCGCCGATAGCATTATGCGGTCGACTGCTACTTGGTCCAGGTTCAACGTCGCGTGCCCCCGCTGCTGTTGGCACTGAATGACTTCCAGTTTGTTGTGTCTGCGTACTTAGATCCACACCAGCTTCGGATGTGTCGTTTAACTGTCCTGGAACTAATTCTGAACCTACAAGGATATGTAGGAAATTGTACTGGAAATAGTACTGAAATGTAAAAACTGAGTGTACACCGGATGTGAATAGAAACCTCGTTGTCCACGAGAACCAGTGCTTGATATTTCGGACAGTGCATTTGAGTTTCCATTTATCATGCCCGAAGGATTAGCATTGGCTTCCCGATATCTGCGTCTTCCTGAAACATAATTAAACTCTCCATTTTTAGGAGTAATTACTATAAAACATACGTATTTTCAAGAAAAGTGTTTATTTCATAGCAAAAGCTCAAACAGAAAGCTTACGTTCTTTGCGCTGAAGAAATAGATTCTTTTCTACCTCATTGAATTCTGAAAAGAACAAACAATCATTGGATAAAAAATAAAAAATGAAAGGATTACAAAGTGAACATTGCAAGCAATGTGGAATGCAGATATCTGAAAAAAAAAAGACTTATAAAGTAAACGTTGCTTCATAAAAACAAATATGGAATATTTTTGTCGAAAACATTACATATACAAGCAAACAGAAATCTCAATATTTACTTCTTTCGATTTGTTCAGTGATGCCAGGATTATCGGCCTCAAGTTCCAGTTTAAAGTGCAGTATTTCCTTGTTCAACTTTTGGCTATATTTCAGCAGTAATGAATGGCAAACATCCAAGATTGCCACTTTTTCGGCCGAAAGAGCTTTTGCTTGTCCATAAAGCTACAAATGAAGCTTTTTAATTTTCTAGTTAAAATTTATATCCAAAATAATTTTGATAAAAAACCTAACATTCTAGAAGCATGTTTGGAACCAGTTCTACAGCATCAAATAAACTTCAATCCAGGATTTTAAATTTATTGTAACACAATTCAATAAAGGGAATAGTGTTAAAAGTGCAACACAGCATAAAACGTAATTTAGAAACGTACCTCTAAGATCTCATTGTAGCGCTTTACTTTAACATCCTGCGGAAGAGTACCACCTGTAGCGAAGAAGTCATCTCTTTCTTTATTGGCGCGCTCATGCAATTCTGAAAATGAATTCCAATATAAAATTGAAATATTAGAATTTACGCTTTCATTGCATTTTTCAACAAAAATGTCAGAAATGAACCATGAACAAGAAGGAACTTCTAAAACAATGAAAAATGTGCAAAAATAATTTGAACCTATGTGAAATAACAGTTCAACAATTCCCATAATTTTATTAAAATATAAACTTATCGGATATTGAATGAATGTGATGATGGCTCCGATATTATGTAGAAAGACACTAAAAATGTTTTGAAAAGATTGAAATTCCTGTTGGTAACTTACGCTGCGCTCGCAAGTCCAACATTCGAACTTCAGTGCTTCTGTCTCTCAACTCACCCGGTAATTGATCAAGTACTGTAATAAGACTGAACTCACATTATTTTTAATAAATGGGACTCAGATTGCTAATATCAAATCTAAATTCCAAATATGCAACTTACATTCCAGGAAATCCTCGAGATACAACATTTTTCTTCTGCCCTGATTGTTCAATAATTTTAATATAGTCCTATGAGTATTCCTGGATAAATTGACATAGAAACACCCAAAAGCTTACATTCACAGATTCATTTGAATAAAAGGAACCAATAAAACATGCCCAATTTTCAGCAACTTCTCAGTATTAAACAAAACCCGTTAATACACATAAGCAAGGAACAGATAACAATTTTTATATAAAACCACGCATGTAAATAAAAGCGAATGACCCATTTAATCCTACATTTTATCCAACAAATAGAAACATTTCTTACTTCAAATTCATCTTACCGTGTTAAACTTCAAAGCAGTTACATACTCATATGAGTATGGAGTATTAAGAATATTTAAAAGATGAAGATAAAGAACAGAATCCTCATTAATAAGGCAAGCTATCCTGATATTAAACAAAAGCGCGACTTAATCCAGACGACAAGTGAAAAAATAAATTAATAGAAGTTTAAAACAACTCGAAAAAGCTTTAACAACTTGAAAACCTTTTATTACTTGACTAATATCCACACTGAAGGTTTTGAAAAAAATAAAATTTATACTTTCAAATGCTACGAGTTAAAAAATAAAATGTTATGGATGCAATTTTTCGAATAATTTCCAATTTTCCGATTTCGGTTTATTAATCCATAGGTTCAAATGTATAATTCGTAATTGGATAGATACGCGGGTCGGTAAATGGATATGCTCGTTTGATATCGTAAGGATATTGCTTCAGCATCTGAAAACAGAAATTTAATTCTTATAAACTGTCGACTATTTCTTGCACAAATAAGCTTTTTTTCTTGATAGGAAAAGAAGCGTATCAGATTCAGTTTCAAATATTTTTAATTTATGACTTAAATATATGACAACCAAAACACACAATATCATTTTTCCACTTTCGACCATTCGGCCATGTTTGAATACCGATCCAGCAAAAGATTAGCGCTGGAATTAAATGACGACAGAAAATTATCGCATTGTTCCATCTAAAACATAAAAAATAATTTCAACAGTTAAACATGACGAACTAAAAAAACCATCCTTTCTGATAATGTAAAATTTTCCGCTTTTAACTCGCTTCATCCGCAGGGAATACTAGTTGACACCAAGATCTTCCAAAAACGCCGTTGACACTTTACTACCAGGCAAAAATGACTCCTTAAATTTAAAGTTCAAATAATACTCAATTAATAATGCCTAACAAATCCCTCAGTACCGATCAAAATTAAACTTAAAGTGAAATTTCTTCGTCGTCAATATTGGTATAGGAATCACGGTCACTTGTATGCATCATTGCTCGAATGTCCATCTGAAATTTTCAGGAATTTAAGCTAAATAGCGAAGCTGGAATGTTATTCCTAACTTCCACAGACATCCTTTCTGATAATGTAAAATCTTCCGCTTTCAACTCGCTTCATCCGCAGGGAATACTAGTTGACACCAAGATCTTCCAAAAACGCCGTTGACACTTTACTACCAGGCAAAAATGGCTCCTTAAATTTAAAGTTCAAATAATACTCATTAATTACTCATATCAACAGTAGTGTTGTTTCAGATTACAACACCTTCATTAAAAATAGGTGTTGCAATCTGAAACGTCAAAATAACCCTTCCAAGCAAGCATCAAAAATTCACAAAAAATTATCCGAGCAGGCCTAAAGTAACTTACTCCTTCACCCCAATTCCTTCGATAGTGTGGATCGCTCCAGTTTTCATATGGATCTTTATGGTCATAGGTGACGCATCCATAATCCGGATAATTTCCTGCATATTTATAGTAATCGTCCTTGTCAATTGGCCTACAAGAAAAAAACTATAAGATACGCAAAATAATTTAAATATCATAGTACAATCATGTTCGAAACCGAAACCATAGCCAACAATTCACTTTAATTGGTAAATCAGTTTCGACTTACCAATTAAAGTCGAATGATAGCTAATACTGAAGTGCAAGAAATATCGACTATTCATATTTCTCCTCACAACATATAATAACAAAGCTAACTTGTAATCTTCCGGTCTCATTCCATATTTTATCGCCGCTGCTCGTCGTTCTTCCTCATTTTTTGGATAATCGTCCGGCATGTGATCACGTGGATACCAACCATCGATTGTCAACGGTCCTCTTTCTAGATATAAGCTTTTCGTTAAACAGGTAAATGAGGAAATGACAGCATACCTAGTTGCAGTAATGTACCGCTGTTTTAAACTGTGTATGGCATGGATGAAAAGAAGATAACAACATGATTGGCTCACTATTCGTGCGATATGATGTGTGGATTGAACGTACACAGATTAGCACGAAACGCGACGATACCATCACACCTGCGCAACCTGGAATACATAACCTCTTTGAAACGTTTTAAAACGATACTACAAACTACCAAACACGAGGCTTTTCATTCACACAGTCAAAGTATTTTTACATATATGTATCTCATCTGAAATATATTTAAATGGTATCAGAGGACATTTCATAAACTAATTCTAAAATCTCTTCTCTGACAGGTTATATCCATTCTCCGCTCGAAGTTATATCACTTATACCATCATGCTCTACAGTATTATCGGTACCTTTTACATGGAACTATATGACAAATATAAACCAATGACAAAACAAGGTTGACTCCTCACTTCACTAATCATATCAATTATATTACTTCGCATCTCTTTCACCACCTGCTATACTAAAAACATTATCACTTTTCATTTTCTGTCGCCGTCTGTTATGAGCTATTTCACTAATGCATTTCAACGACTAAGGGGAGCATCTAATGGGAAGAAGCATAATTGGCACTGGTTAATAGAATGTCGGAGACAAGATATGGTTCTGTGGGCAGGGATAGCAGGAAAACATTAATAATATTGGAGGAAAAATAGAGGAGCATAAGTGAAGAGAGGTTATAGGTCAGGCTGAGGGAAGAACAGTTTACGTATTTGTCTATATAGTGAATGACAGCAAGCGGTGTAATCAAAGAGATGAGTGCGACCAAGTCTTATCAAAGGAGAAGATTAGGTAGAATTTGCCTTTTAAGAGGTGTGACCGTCTATCTATCGTTAACAATGATATGCAGTTAATTATCAAATTCCAACTTTTGAAAAAATGGGAAGTTTCCAAATTGATTATAAAATTATTTATTTTCATGTACTCGTTTTACCTGCTTGAGAACTTCCCTTTTTCCATGACATATCGTTTCCCTAGCCTTGGTTCTTTTGAAACTTCCATTCCTTGACATCATCCAGAGAAAATTTTGAAAACAGATATGAGCCTGAATAATTCAAAACTTCAAGCATTCAATGTATGAACTATAGAGGGATTTGAAAATTTTCCTTTAGAAGAAAATTTTTAATTCAAATATTAGCGTATTCAAACGATTTGTCAATTAAAAGATCCGACTGATTAAAAATCTAAAAGTACTTTTTTGTTTTTTTCTCTTTATATTGTTAACAGTTTCAGTCGAATAATCAAACTGTCGAAAAATGATCAAGCTATCGAAAAATGACATGAATGGCATATCAAGAACACTGGTTAATGCGCTATGGTCTTTATCAATAATAAAAAACTTTTGAAATTCATATTACTATTAATGTTTAAGCAGTATCATTCTCCACCGATTAATAGTATAACTTTTTAACCGAGGTAAGTATATTTATTATTTATTTATTTAATTTGAAATGACATCCTGTTTTCTCTACTTCTTTAATTTTCCATTTGCCTTTTATATCATTTTTGAGAATGACATTTTTCTTATTGCCTTTAATTTTGCTCATTCTCTTTCATTTTCATTTGATATCCGACGACTAAACTATTATTTCAACTTTAAATGATATGAAAGAGTCTATTATTTCAATTCAAATTTAAATGGCCTGATTACTTTCAATGTGATCAGTGAACTTTGATGATAGTTTCACACATGAGCAGATGAAATAAACTTCCATTTTCTCTACAACGCTTTCTTCGCCTAGAAATTTTAGTAAATTGATCAAAAAAATTTTCCTGTTTGCATCCATACTCTTTAAAAGTCTGTATAATAAACTTTTTGGTACAAATGCAATTTATGGAAAGCATATAGCAGATTGATCACAGACAATTATCAATCCTAAACAGCTGTACTTCCTCTGTTTTCAGTTTAAAAGAAAATTGGTCAACAATAAGTGAAACAAAATATGTGTTGCATTTCGGTATAATGGTGTAGCGTCTACATAAATCCAATCGGAATTAAGTTGAAGTAAGTCAGAATTTAATCGAAAAGAAAATATACGTTTGATTATTCAAGAGAGCTGATCGGATGATTTTGTGATTTTTTGGGTTTAACAATTTCGTGATTTTCAAAGACCATTTGCATGTCCTATTTTTTAAAACAGCTGTTGCTCGAAGTTTAGATGAAAAGGATCATTCGCCAATCAATTACTTACCTTTCTCTCCAGTCATCTTTCCTAGAAAATAATTGTTTATTTTTAAAATATTTTTAAACTATGAAAAAGCCAGCGATGAAGTTTTGTTTCTCTATTTACAATGTAAAGTAGTTGATTCCTTCACTATATTATAGATCTAGCGCATTTATGCAATATGAAAAAGCTACTAAACTAATGTCATCCTAATAACACATTATTTCTTACACTAATAACATCTTGACAACATCATTATTTCTGATGAATGAATAATTCTATTTCGATACCGAAAAATGAGTAGTTCATTTTAATACCGGAAAACGCAAATCACCTCAATATTAGTGAGAAAAATTTGATTTCGTGAACTTCACATTCCACATAACTATTCAGTGACCTCATTGGATCTTTACAGAATTGTAATGTAAACAAAAGGCTCAAAGAAATTTCGTGAATAAAATTATGAGCGAAAGAGAGACAGTGAATTTTTCACTTGAGTCAGAATTTACGCCTCTTGAGTCATTTTTTTTAATCAACTGAAACTAACAGTCTAAATAGATTTGTATGCTATACTTGCAAACTTCACTACAAAATTTGATACAGTTCCATTTTACTCTTTTCTATTCAATTTTATTCCAATCCCATTTTGTGCATTTCATTGCAATTCATTTAATCCAATTTGCTAATTAAATTCTACTTTATTACTCAAAATAACATAACTAGTTTCATTTTATTCAATTTCGTATCTGAGCGTTGAAGACTTACCATTTATGAATTTTAAAGAGATGAATGCTTTTGGATTTCAAGACTAGGTTTTGGTTTGCATTATGAAAGTTGAAGATGATAGAAAAAGAATTTATCGGGATTGAACTTCATTTTCTTATTAAACATAGAGTGAAATAAATTTTTAGCCTCGCAGTTTTGAACTAATTTGTCTCACTCGTGATTTTGATTTAGAGAGTTGTTAAATTGTTGCATTCAATAAATTTAGTTTTAAACATTCAAACTATACTCGACTTCTGTCCTACAGAAAATCAAATCTCTTTCATCAGTCAATAATAGAGAGGATAGGAAAATTCCCACTTCCCGAACAGAAAATATCTGTGCTAAGTAAGCAGCTCTTTGCAGAAACTTTCAAACAAATTAGTTAGTTTTATTGTCATTGGTGAGAGATGAGATGAGAAGGGAATACTTAAATTTTAGACTGAAAAGTAAGAACGTGAGAGATTTATTGTAAAATTCTAATATCATATTCTACTGCCAACAATTGTAAATATTTTTGTTTTATTTACAATTGACGCCTTCTTATCGACCCATTTCTCGCACAGATGTTAAAACGAATTGAAATATGTTTAGTTTTAACCCAAAACTAATCTCTATCAAGTTTTATTTCTGTACCGGAAAAAAGATTCAGAAGTAACCAATTATTAGATTATTTCTTCTTGATACATATAGGTCACCAATCCATTATATGTATGTATAAAAGTAAGGAAAAATGAAGAATGATCAAAGGATGCTTCTCGAGAAAAATTTCTTTGTAATAAGAACAAAACAGTTAGAACAAATATGTCACAGTTGTCTCAAAAAGCTGTCTTTTGAGATTATTGGCTGGCTTTGTCGTTTCATTCAACGATGTATGTAATGTTTCGTCCATGACAGAAAGGGATTAGCGATTATTTGAACATTGTTTGGTG